TGGTTTCCAAATGGGATGCTGAAAGACCCTGAAAGCCGCTTTTCCGATCTGGGTCCTCGCTACACTTGGGTAAATCCGTTGGATGTTCATTACCGAAAAGGAGAAATATGGCCCACATCAGGTAATTATGATATTTTCTTTCATCAGGCAAACTTTTCCTGAGCAGCAAAAAATACGTGAAGACCATTTGTGACCTCAGCTGTGGAAAGCTTTTTAAAATTTTACGAAAAGAACCGAATTTTTCCGTAATTCAAAATAAACAATAATCTTATAAGTGAAAGTGTATAGAATTGCAAGTGAAGTCTCCCATGACCCCTTTCTTTCATTGTTTGAACTGAAAGCCTCTTCATTTTATATTCAATATTTTATAAAACATTAATTGGAGCTTTTTTGAGAAGTGTCAAGTGGTTTGAATTTGTAGCACTTTGTGTTAATGGATAGATGTAAAAATGAGACAATTTCTATCAGCTTTCACTATTTCAGGAAAGGTGCGACATCTATTCCACGTTTTATCTATCCTGAGAGGCTTGTTCTTAGACGCGTTTACAGGGTAGTCGAGAAAGAATACAGTGCATTACAGCTAGACTGGTTGTATACATTAAAAATTTAAATTTGTCACAAGGTTCAGCATACTGCCAACATATTTATAGTCTGAGGCACAGAGTATCATCTTTTGGCAATTCTTAATTTTTCCCAGCAAATTCTGGTCCTTCAAGCTCAAACATTTTTTAAACCAGATTTTTTGTGGGTTCCTCTGAGTTATACTCCAAGAGATAAAACTGTAATATAGAAATAGGCATGTTTTTATTGTCCACCTGTGCGTTTGGTGCAAAGTGAAGCCAAAACAAAAGATTACAAATAAATGACATTGAAATCAGAAACTCTTTGTTTTGTCACTCAACCCTCCAAGAATAAATACAGTGAGACCCTAAGATGCAGACGTAATTGGTGCATCAAGAGTGTCCCCAAGTCAAAATGTCCCTGAGTCAAGTCTTGTTTTACCATATATAGACTTACAATATATAAATTTTAGTTGGTGCTTTATGGAAGAAATATTCTTCAGAATTCCCTGAAAAAAATTGTTTGCCACTTGAATTTGACTTAGTGAATACATTTTCAGCTCAATAAGAATATTTGGAGCATTGAATAGCGTATCTCTGTACTGTACACTGAAATTTTGGCATCTACAAGAATGACCTTCAAGTGAAAAAAAGTAGAAGTCCCTCTATGCTGGAGGTAATTTTTAAAAATTAGCTAAATGGACAGTAATTTGGTGGGAGAAATGCCCAAGAACTTTTCCTACATCAATTTCAGGGTTTCAAATATCTGTTTCTTGTAATTTGGCCTGAAATGTATTTGCAATTGCGCAAAAACTTTTCCTACATCAATTTCAGGGTTTGAAATATCTGTTTCTTGTAATTTGGCCTGAAATGTATTTGCAATTTTATCACAAAATGCCCCTATGTTGAGTCAGTGTCCTCATGTCAGGCCTTATTTATTGATTTCTTCTTGGAAAATAAGTGTCCCTATGTCAAATTGTCCACAGTTTGAGATGTCCACATGTGGGGGTCTAACTGAACACTACAATACAACATTGCAGGAAAACTTCGCACAGTGGAGCAACCAATTGAAAATCTCATATTTTCTTCTTTTAATTGTCTGTACACTTCTCATATATTATTAATTTTTCAGGTTGTCCACAGAATATAAATCAGCCTTTTTTGGCAGGTTTCCAAGAGAGTTAATGGGTGTCTATTCAAGCCAATTCCACGGATTCATAATTTTTCTATTTCAGAAGTCTTGATTAAGAAGATCACCCACCAATTGTACACACAAAAAAAACATTTGATCTGTACTGAAGTTTACAGTGTAGGCTAAAATATTGAGTTGCTCATTCTTGCAAGCAGTTAATTTGCTTCACCATAATCGCATAAAGAGCACTGAACACATTTTTCACAGAGCTGGAGACCAATGGAAGTTATTCAGAATACAAACTGGCTTCTAAACCTGAAGAGTCTACCCAAAACCTCATCATGGCTGGGAATCGTGTCCATGTTGATGACTCATCTCGTTATGAAACAGCACACAATGAAGCAGAAGAAGAAGAAGACGATGACCCAGAAGCAGACGACCACCGAANACCTGAAGAGTCTACCCAAAACCTCATCATGGCTGGGAATCGTGTCCATGTTGATGACTCATCTCGTTATGAAACAGCACACAATGAAGCAGAAGAAGAAGAAGACGATGACCCAGAAGCAGACGACCACCGAAACGACATCCATCGATTGACCGTCATCCCAGATGATAACCAAGATGGCGGCGGCGGCCAAAACACGATTCAATATTCTGGTGCAAACTTGGTTCGGTCTTTGCTGCGCAAAAAGCAGTTTGTGCGAAACGGATCCAGGTTCATACCGAGACTCGGAAGACGTTGAATTTCGAAAGAAAAATCCTGGTGCTGAACGATTTTCGGCAAAACAAAAAAAGTATTGTGTTCCTTGTTTGAAAGATTTTTTTTGTGTTTTCTTTTGGCGGATTATTTCTTCCGGCAAATTTTTATGTTGTTTTTTCTTCATGGGTCTAAAACAGTGTGGGGTCGGGTCATATTTCTGAGTATTGAAATCGCTCCCTTTTTTTATTGTTTTCGAAAAATTCCTGGATTAAGGGTGTCCTAATTCCGCGCGCGGTTCCGCAAAATAGTTGCTGCTGTTTGTTCTAAAATTATAAATTTTTAAAACTTTTTCAACAGAATATGTACCGAATTTAACACACCTCTCAGTTTAAATCATCAAAGCAACTGACGTTTATCATTAATCAAACTTGAAAGGGCCATTTCAGATACTACAATATGTCACTTAAAAAAAATTTTGGTGCATGCATTATTGGAGAACGTTTGAATTAATTTTAGAACGCACTCGTTAATACTTTTCAGGAATTAATGAAAGTAAAATGAATTATATTGGGTTTTGTACATGTGCCAAAATTTTGTTCTTCCAACTATCTTGGTAATAAATTCTGTGCTTAAAAATGGTGTAAACAGATGATTTGTCCACAATGTATCTTAACTGTGGGCAAATCCAAAGCATAAATTAGACATCTCATGTGTCTCATCAAATGGGGGCAATAGTAGAAATTCTGCTGAAAAATCAGTTTTCATTCTGCACTGCATCCAGAAAATGTCCCAAACAACTTTTTTGAAGTTTTAATTCAAGGGCTTAGAGAAACCTAAAATGTTCAAAACAATGCAAAAAGGGTTTATTCTTCCCACCTTTTAGGAAAAATTCTTGAATAAATTTTTTTTTGGCTGGGCATCTTGATTTCTGAACCAGAAAATTGACCTGATTCCAGAACAAGGGGAAGCTTTCGGAAAGATGAAAAGAAATGAGATGATGATCTGAGTAAATAAAGCTGCAAGGAAAGAGACATTTTATTGAAGTGTTTTGTGGTGAAAGAAAATTCTATGAGGACAATTTTCATAGATTACAGTCAACCCCCACACAATGGATTTAATTTGTCCAACAAACTCTAGTATGCAAAAAGTCTGTGGTGTGAATTCAGATTCTTTAAAATTTAACATTTTTTACCTTTTGCCATTATAAATTTGAACCAACCAAAGTCTGTTGCGTTATTGCATAAAAATAGTTTAATTGTCCCAAGAGCATGTTTTTTCCGGAAATTCTTGTCTTCCTGTTGCAACAATACCCCATTCACTTGAGTATTCTGTTGAGTTTATACTGCTAGCGTATGAATGAATAGTGCACTGAATTGAATACTCAGCATGTCAAATGACTCAAGTCCCATGTCAGACCACAAAGGGTTCCTTATTTCAGCTTCTTTTGTTTGACATTTGGCTTGTCAGGGGCTATTGAGTCTCTCTGGCAAAGATTTACATCTCTGCTTGTTTTTAATTAAGCAAAGAAATGATGTAGACACAATCAGCCATTTGCAGCCTGAGGTAAATACCTCAACGTCAGTGTATGTGATCCTCAAAGTTCCAATAATATCTGATGATGATTTCATCAGCACACAAAATATGCAGTCTGTTCTCTTGGGAGCTCAGAAGACAAGTGACAGTTTTTTTCCACACAAATATGAACAGGTCCAGGTCCTCCTCTGGTGGAAAGTTTCCTCAAGGCTTTCTGCCAGGGTGTCCAATTGTTGTTTGATCAGGTCCTGTTAATTCCCATGATTTTGTGTGATTCACACAAGTGGAATAAGTCTTGGAGATCATCATCTCCAAGGCTATCCCTGGTGTGGTTGGGTTTCTTTAGAATCTTGTTTTCTTTTCCTGTTTGTATATTGTTAATAATTTATTATTTTTGCAGGAATTCATTTTTGATTCAAGATACAAGGACAATGTGGTGTTTTGTACGCCACGTCATTCTCTCAAAATTTCCATTGTGATTCTCACTTGGGCAACATCTAGTTGTCCCAAGTTAATTGGGGCATCAGCGGGCAACATCTAGTCGACCCGTGACATGGCTGTTTTGTATCATTAAAAGCAAGTTTTGGTAAGATTTCAGATGGTTGGTTACTTCAGGTTTAGTTATTACCTTAGTTAGGTAATCTTTTGCCCTCCCAAGGAGGAATGGGTAGAGCCAATTTTTAAATTGAGAAATTAAGTGATTTCCTCTTGGGCCTACAATTGATTTAAAGTACAAAATTCAAGGAAGGAACAATATTTTCCTCAGTTTTGCAAGCAGCCTTTTGAGCTTTAAGATAATAATTTCAAATGCAGGCATTGTACTGTATATAAAGCAAAATACTTTCAATACTGTTCTGGTTCATTTGAACTCACAAAAAATAGACAATCGCAAAATAATACACAAACTTTCCCTGAATTAAAAAAAACAATCGATGAGGAGAGCACTTTCTTTTCTATCACAGAGCAAATTGATGCTGAGCTGCAGTGTGTGTGTGTAGGCGTGGGACTCTGTGTCTTCATCCAAAAAGTCTTTGACCAACATGGCGGCGGTTGAAAACGTTTTTCCCAAAACACTCTGCTGCTACTTGATCGCAAATACATGTCCGTTTGGCACATGGGTCTCCAGGCACTGAAAAGAATACCAATGAAAGTCAGAAATTACACAATCACCTCAGATAATGGCCAAATTTGATATGCCATAAAATATTCTTAAACCCAGCTTCTTGAGGATTTCAGAAAACTTTTGTTATACCAAATAATGTGTTATAATGATACAGGTATTTTCAGAAGTAATAACTGGGGAAAATGTTCACATTAGACCTGCCTATAATGATTTTCTGACATTATCAGATTTTTTATTGTTTGTAAAACTGAAGTATCTTTTTAAAAAAAGAAGGTTTAATCATGAATTCCATCAGTTGTACCGATCTCTTCATTCTGGGAGGATCATGCGTGAAACCCATTGAAAGCATGTTTGACATTGATTAAAGGTTCAACCCAAACCATTAAATCATATTTGGAATTGTACATTTTAGACTTTGCCTGCCTTAGTCAGGAAATGTCTCCCTTGGGAATCTATTTAACCTTTTTTGATGAAAGGTGTTACTCTTGAATTTTGAAGTTTATTATCCCAAGTTTTTGTTTGAACATTTAACCTATGGGCTTTCTGCTGGGACTTGAGAAAAAGTTCGTTATCTAAAAAAATGTGTTGTAATGGTATTTGTTCTGGCTAGATTTTACTGTACTGGAATTGGAAAGCTTGTTATAAAAAGATTGTTTCAACATGTACTCTATGGACTTTTTAATGGGCTTTTTAAAAAGCTTGTCATACTGAAAATTTTTTCTACTGGCACCTGTTGTGATGGCCTTTTACTGTACTGGAATTGGGAAGTTTGTTATAGCAAGCTTATTTTAATTTTAATTCATGGGCTTTCTGCTGGGGCTATAGTTATAGAGACCCCACATGCGGACGCCTTGGCCTGCAGATGATTCAACCTAGGGACACTCCTTTTACCATGAAAAAATCACAAAAAAGTCCCAATATGAGGACATTGACTCGACATAGGGACATTTTGTGATAAAATTGCAAATAAATTTCAGGCAAAATTACAAGAAACAGATGTTTCCAACCCTAAAATTGATATTAGAAAAGTTCTTGGGCATTTCTCTCCCCAATTTACCATCTATTTAGCTCATTTAAAATAATAACCTCCAGCATAGAGAGACTTTCCGTCTCTCCTTTTCAATTGAATTTTATTTTTACAGAAAATGCCAATACTTCTATGCACTGTACAGATGAGGTATCAGTATTCAATTCCCCAAATGTTCATATTGTGTTGAAATACATTGATCGAATCACTTTAAATTGGGAGACAATTTTTGTTTTCATGGAATTAGGGTGAGTATTTTGTGCATGAAACACCAATTAAAAATTATATAATGTAAAGTCTAAGGGAAAATGAGACTTGACTTGGGGACATTTAGACTTAGGGACACTCTTGATGCAACAATTACGTCCGCATTTTGGGGTCTCACTGTACTTATAAATTCTTTTTACAGTATTTTTTTTCAACAAGATGTTACTGTACTAGCCCATTTTC